TCACCACCGAAGCCCCCAGTGGGACCGTCCGCATGCGTCCCGGAAGCCCAATTTGGCATTTTCACCCACCCATTACAACGCTTCGTGGCCCCATAAGGAGTTCCACCGAAGCCTCCAGTGGGACCGTCCGCATGCGTCCCGGAAGCCCAATTTGGTATTTTCACTTACCCTGTACAGCGCTTCGTGGCCCCATAGGGAGCTCCATCGAAGCCCCCAGTGGGACCGTCCGCATGCGTCCCGGAAACCTTACTTGACACACCACGCACCCAGAACAGCGTTCCCCCCCACCCAGTGCAGCGCTTCGTGGCCCCATCAGGAGTTCCACCGAAGCCTCCAGTGGGACCGTCCGCATGCGTCCTGGAAGCCCAATTTGGTATTTTCACTTACCCTGTACAGCGCTTCGTGGCCCCATAAGGAGTTCCACCGAAGCCTCCAGTGGGACCCTCCGCATGCGTCCCGGAAGCCCAATTTGGTATTTTCACTTACCCTGTACAGCGCTTCGTGGCCCCATAGGGAGCTCCATCGAAGCCCCCAGTGGGACCGTCCGCATGCGTCCCGGAAACCTTACTTGACACACCACTCACCCAGAACAGCGTTCCCCCCCACCCAGTGCAGCGCTTCGTGGCCCCATAGGGAGTTTCACCGAAGAACATTTTCACAATTGCGGTACCCACAACTGCATATGGTTGGGTCCTTCGCCAGGATAACTATCTCCGTCGCCCCCCCCCCCCAGCCCCGAGCATTGAAATAGTGGCTTGGCGGGCGCCCATCGACCACTTTTACCTGACGCGAGGGGGGGCAAGGACCCGCCGCCTCCAGCCTGGGCCAGGGCGCGTAGGCGGGAAGACACGCGCCGCCCCCTCTACGTTGTGCTCCTCCTCGTCCTCCCCTCCTCCTCCTCCTCCTCCTCCTCCTCCTCCTCCTCCTCCTCCTCCTCCTCCTCCTCCTCCTCCTCCTCCTCCGCTTCTCTTCCCTATCCAGCGACGGGCACGGCCTGTCGCATAGGGGCGCCACTTCTTTGGGAGCGTCCCCAGAAACCGAACATAAATCAAACAACCCAAAGCGTTGATGGCGGAAACGGTTGGGGACACGATCGAGAAAAGTATCACATGATAGCCTGGAGAAAGGCGAAGAGGGGGTGGACCCCCGCCGCGAATCTTGAAAACCAAGGCCCTGTGTCAGTTCCTCGAAATTGGCGGCGCGACGGCGCGAAGATACTCGCGGGGCGCGATGCACCATGGTGCCCTGGAATCCCCCAGAGGCAGGCCCGTCCTGGAGGGACGGCGCCGCGGGCGTCGGGACGGCGGGCCGGGATGCTGCCCGCGCGCCCGGCCACCGCGCCGCGCAGCCGCGGCGGCACCGCCGGGGGGGCGTCCGGGGAAGAGAGGAGCGGTTGCGCTGGGTGGCCTGCCCGCGAGGTGGAACGGAGCGCACCTCGCCGGGAAAAGCGGGCCCGTGGCCGCCCGGGAGCCGAGCTGCCTCGAGTCCTCCGTGCGCGGGGGGGGGGGGGACAGCAGACGCGCTGCCAGCGCAGCCAGGGCGCAGCAGTTCTGCATGCCGCCCAGGCAGACGCGCACCGCTTGGAGCGGGCCTCCCCCTCCCCTTTCCTCCTTCTGCGGCCGTTTCTCCTCCTGTCTGTGCCACTTGGGCCACCGCTGTGGCCTACAACATGTCAGTCCGGTCGTTCGCCTGCAGGAAAGTCCCCTTCGCATTCTCGCAGGGACATGTCCTCGCACCATGCAGGTCGTGAAGGCTGGCCTGGGGGAAGCGACGGATGGTCCCGCCCGCGCAGACATATGCCATGGGCGCAATCCGCTACCGCGTGGCCCGCCGAAGCCTTGACCGCGACGAGCTTCTTGTCGCTGCGGGTAGAGTGCCGATGCGGTGTCCCCCGGCCCGGCCGTTCGTCGTCGGCCCTCGCCCCTGTCGTGCCGCCCACATCCGCCCAGGCTCGCGGGCGCTGTGGCACCGGGTGGAGAAGGAAGGACACGCGAAGGCCAGGTTCATCATCTGCAACGACACCAGCCACGACGATGACCCCGCGGCGGTGACGAAGGCTGGGGCTGTCGTCTGGAGCGTAAGCTCTCCGTCCATGCACTTCGCCTTATTAAGTTCCATCCTAGCATGCGTGGCCGCTCCTCAGGCAGGATAAAGCCCAGCGTGTGTAAGTTTCACAGAAACCACCTGTTCAAAGAGCTGGGGTCAGTGCGGCTTCCAGGAAAAAACTCCAATCATTACCGGTGGCTGGGTGGCCATACTTAGGATTGAGTTCGGCTTTGGTCCCCAAAGTGCGAGCGTTGAGATGCAGATGTCATGGTTATGTTGGCAACCGTATCTTGATCATCCCTTGGCTGCATGTCCTCCGACCCCTGTCCCATGCCATTATTTCAAGCATCGGTTTGCGACTGCCTTCAGACGACTCTGTCTGTCTTCTGCCTGTTCCCACGAGTGTCCAGGACAGGCTTTCATGGCGTAGCCCTCCATTTTCCTAATCCACCATTCCCCGCTTCGTTTGAACCTGTCACTCTCTTTCTCTCTCTATCTCTCTCTCTCTCTCGCTCTCTCTATCTCCTCTCTCTCTTTCTCGTCATCTCTACCCAGGAGAATCTCTTCCTGTAGCACGAGATTCGGAATTCGATATCCAGCTGCATGCGGCAAGTCCCGCCACCGTACCAACGCAGCACTGGGTGGCAAATGTTCGAGGGTAGCACACACAGGAAGCCGTCATGTGTGACGCATCGTCATGATGCTTCCGTGATGTGTGACACTGTCTTCTGCGTCGTGTCGAGGTGTCTTTCTTCGTGTTCGTCGTCGTCGTCCTCCATTCGTCTTCTTCCCTCCTTCCTAGAGGCCTCTTGGGGGCCTCTTCGGGGCTCCTGGGCACTCCTTGGGGCGTCTTACAGCGCTCTTGGGCGGTCTGTCGCTTTGGGAGTCCGTCGTATTGGGCCTCTCTGGGCCATCTTGAGGACCTCTTGGGCCGTCTTGAGGCGCTCTTGGGGGCCTCGCTGGCCGTCTTGGGGCCGTATTGGATGCCCCTTGGGCCGTCTTGGGCTGACGGGAGCCCGAAAAGGAGATCACGCGAGCATCGCTCAAACAATCTTGACAGCTTGCAGAAGAGCCATGTATTTGCCTCTTCGGGCCATCCTTCGGGTCCTCTTGAGGCCGTCTTGGGCCTCTCGAGTTGTCTTGTGGCATACGCCAGAGGCGTTCGTTAAGGAATAGTCCCAGGAGGCGCCAGACCCTGGAGGATTCCCTGTCCAAGGAGGGCGGCGGTGATGTCCATGGCCCGTCCACGATTGGAGTTCCACCAGCTTCCAGACCCTGGATTCCTTACGGCGGCGGCATTGGATAAGGAACGCCTTCCTGCGGCCCAGACCCTGGCGCACCCCTCATTGTTTCCAGGCGAGGTGGGTGGCCCACGTTTGGCCGCCCATCGGTCGCGAGACCCTGGGCTCCTCATCGAAGGCATCCTCATCTGAAACCTCCACCGCATCTAAGGGCTCCCGAGCCCCGCCAGCCGCCGTCCGCGCCGAGCGCTCGGCGGGCGGGGCGCGCCTCGTGCCGCCCCCCGGCGTCGGTGGCGTGCGCCCACGGCTTCGGCGAGCTCGCGCCGGCGTGAGGCCAGCGGGCCCGGCGGCGCGGGCCGGGCGGCGGCGGCCGCGGCCCGAGAGCGCGGCGAGCGCCCGCGCCCGGATGCATGCGCGGGCCCCGTGGGGCCCCTGATTCTTTTTTGTGTGCGTGTGTGTTTGTTGAGAACTTGTTTTGTTTTTTCCCTACCTAGGCCCTGCCTAGAAGGGTTCTTACCCTCTGTACTTCAAGGGCCGGGCAGTGGAAATCGCCCCGGGCGGTTCCCCCAGGATCCGCCCCGCGGTTCCCCGAGTTGTGCCCCCTGGGTTCACCCAGCTTAGTTTAGCTAAGCTAAGCTAAGCTTAGCTTAGCTTAGCTTATCTCATATTGGCTTAGTTTAGCTTAGCTTTGCCTTGCCTAGCTTAGCTTAGCTTAACTTAGCTTAGTTCATCTCATCTTAGCTTAGCTTAGTTTAGCTTGGCTTAGCTTAGCTTAGCTTAGCTTAGCTTAGCCTAGCCTAGCCTAGCTCAGCTCAGCTTAGCTTAGCTTAGCATCGCTTACCTTAACTTAGCCTAGCGCAGCGCAGTATAGCGCAGCGCAGCATAGCGCAGCGCAGCATTGGCACAGCATAGCATAGCATAGCATAGACAAGCATAGCATAGCATAGCATAGCCTAGCGTAGCATAGCATAGCGCAGCATAGCATATCATAGCATAGCCTAGCATATCATAGCATAGCGCAGCATAGCATAGCATATCATAACATAGCATAGCATAGCGCCGCATAGCATAGCATAGCGCAGCATAGCATAGCACAGCATAGTGTAGATGTAGGTGTAGGTGTAGATGTGGATGTAGGTGTAGATCTAGATGTAGATGCAGATGTAGATGTAGGTGTAGATGTAGGTGTAGATGTAGGTGTAGATGTAGATGTAGATGTGAGTCTCGCTGTTGATGTTGATGTAGATGTAGATGCAGGTGTAGGTGTAAATGCAGCTGTCGGTGTAGATGTAGATGTTGCTTTCCTACATGCTCCAACTCCTAGGTAGGGTCGCACTGGGATACTTTATATAATAGAAGAAAGTGGGGGAGGATCTTCCGCGGAGGCGGGGTGTGCACGCCCTCTCGTGGCCTGGCCAGGGAGGCGCGGGCCCTGGAAGCGCGCAGTTATATATATATATATATATATATATATATATATATATATATAACACAACAAACAGATTATAACAAAAAACAGTATCGGCCGCCTCGGAGGCCCTCCTGGGCGCCTTCGAGCGGCAGGGAGGCGCCGGGGCGCCACTGGGCCCGTCGGGAGGGCGGATGCACGCAGACTTCTGCAATGAGGCGGGGGAGATGTTAGGAAACTGCAGGAGGAGGAGGAGGAGGAGGAGGAGGAGGAGGAGGAGGCAGAGGAGGAGGAGGAGGAGGAGGAAGGAACCCTACCAGACACACATGGGCGACGCAGAAAAGCGGGGTCGTCTGCGCCGGCATTGGCGCGCAAGCTGCGCGCGCAAGGTCGCGCGTAAGCGCCCTCGGCTCCACTGTGGCGTGCCGCGCGGGCGGCCCGCGTAAGCCACTGCGTCAGGTCGCTGCGTCATCTCGCGTAATACCCGTTTTTGATCGTCGCTCGCAGGGCATTCTACCACGCCTCAACGTGCCAGAGGGCGCGACGACAACGTTCATCGCCAGTAGTGGAGGTGCAGCATCCGAGTTGGCAATGTGGCTGAGCTGCTGCATCTCCGGTTCGAGCTTGAGAGCCGTTGGGGGTGCAGACAGGCGTTGAAGGCGGAAGCAAAGAGGTTCCACGACCTTGTCTTCTTGAAGTGCGAGGAGGGCTACTCTCATGGGCGACTGACGTTGAAGGTCTCTAGTTTCACCTCCTCGCCAGCAGCTTCTGCAGGTTGTCCAACTCCTCTCGTGCGTTACGTTGTTTATCGTGTTCCTCATCGCTTTTATCTTCCCGCACTTGAGGCCCTGGATCTCCACGGAAAGTGATCTGCGCATCTCTCGTGTGTATCTCTCGTTGCAGCCAGCGCGCTGCTGTGCTGTCTGCTTCTTTCGTCGCCTAACTCTGCCGATGCAGAGGGATGGCTCTCTTGACTGGCCGCCAAACACACCACCTAGCACATCTGATTTATTCATGGCCACCCCAGAAGGGACGTCGGAACGCCTAGATGCCATTCTTACGGCCCTCTGACAAAACACATCTCGATCCTTACGCCCACACGCATGTACATACAAGTACGTGTGTTCATGCATGTGAGAGAGCGCGTTCTGTGGCTGCTTGGAGGGCGGGGGGGGGTTGGAACCGGACCCCCCCCCCTGGATGGAGGGGGGGGGTCGGACCCCCTCCCCTTCCGTGACGGAAGGGGGAAGGGTTCGAACCCGCTTTCCCCCCCCCCCCCCTGCCCCCTCCCTCCTCCCCTACGTCTCCTTCTCTCCCTCCTCGGGACGACGACCTCCTTTTCTGGGCCGGCGCCGGCGCCTGCGGCGGCAGGCGGCGGCGGCGGAGAGCGTCGACGAGGACGACGGCGACGACGATGACGACGACGACGCTCCGCCACCGTGCCTTGGTGTTGGGTCAGGATCCTAATGGATGCCTCTTGGGGTCTCGTCGGAGGGCTCTCGGGGGCCTCCGAAGGGCATTTGTGAAGCCTCCTGGGCGCCTCTTGGGCGTCTCTTGGGGCCGCTCTGAGGTGGTGGTGGAGGTGCGCTGTGGTAGGCTGTGGTGGCGGTGGTTGTGGTGGTGGTGATGGTGGTGGTGGTGGTGGTGGTGGTGGTGGTGGTGTTGTGGTCACTGGTGGTGGTAGTGGTTGTTGTGGTGGTTGTGGTGGCAGGTTGTGGTGTTGGTGGTGGTGCGGTGGTTTCTGGTGGTGGTGGTAGTTGTGGTGATGGTGGTTGTGGTGTTGTGGTTGATGCTGGCGGTGGTGGTGGCGGTGGTGGTGGCGGTGGTTTGTGGAGGTGGTGGTGGTGATGGCGGTGGTGGTGGCGGTGGTGGTGGTGGTGGGTTGTGCTGCTGGTATGGTGGTTGTGGCGGTGGTGGTGGTGGTGTGGTAGATTGTGGTGGTGGTGGTAGTGGTGGTGGGTTGTTGTGGTGGTGGTGGTGAGTTGTTGTGGTGGTGGTGGTGGCTGTGGTGGTGGTTGTGTGGTGGTTCGGTGGTGATGGTGGTGGTTGGTTGAGGTGGTGGTTTATGGTAATGGTGGTGGCGGTGGTGGTGGTGGCGTGGTGGTTTGTGGGTGGTGATGGTGGTGGTGGTGATGTTGTGTTTGTTGTGGTGGTTGTGGTGGCAGGTTGTGGTGGTGGTGGTTGTGGTCGGTTGTGGTGGGTTGTGGTGGTGCTGGTGGTGGTGGCGTATTTGGTGGTGGTGGTGGTGTAGTGGTTTGTGGTGATGGTGGAGGTTGTAGTGGTGGTGGGTTGTGGTGGTTGTGGTGGTGGTGGTGGCGGTGGTGGTGGTGGTGTGGTGGTTTGTGGTGGTGGTGGTGGTGGTGGTGTGGCCTTCGGCTCTTCCCGCCACCGCTTGGCTTTGGGTCAGAGTTCTAATGGATGCCTCTTGAGGTCTCGTCAGAAGGGTCTCGGGGACGTCTGAGGAGCATGCGTGAAGCCTCGTGGACCTTCTTAAGGGCCTCTCGGTGGCTTTTGGGGGGCCGAGGGCTCGATGTGGCGATTTGTGTGTTCCCTCTGCGGCCTCTGGGCCCTCTTTTTGGTCATCGTCGCTGCGCCCCCGCCGTCGGCGCTGCTGGCCGCCGCCAGTGCCGGCGCCGGCGCCTCAGCGGGGAGGGGGGGTGGCACCCCAGCCCTCCACCCTTCCCCTTGGGCCCTCTCTGGTTATCGTCGGTGCATCCCCGCCGTCGGCGCTGCTGGCGGCCGCCAGCGCTGGCGCCGGCGCTGGCGCCGGGGGGACGGGGGGGGGAGGGTTTTGGACCCCTCCCTTCCCCCTTGGAATGGGGGTGGGTTAGGGAGGAGGGGAGTCCCCCCTGTCCTGATCGACAGCGCCGAGTGTTGGGGTGGGGGGGCCCACCCCCGGTTTGAAACGCGTTGCCGAATGTTCCCACAGCAAGCGCCCGTGAAGCGCGCTCTCTCATACATGTATATATATATATATATACCTATACATATACATATACAGATACATACACATACATACACATGCATACATACATACATACATACATACATACATACATACATACATACATACATATATACATACATGCATGCATGCATGCATGCATGCATGCATGCATGCATGCACACATACATACATATGTGTTTAGTCGTCCCTCCTTTCTCCTCCCTCCCTCCATCCAACCTTCCATATTTCTCCCTATCTCTCTCTCCCTTTCTCCTTCTCTCTCTCTCTCTTTCCCCCCTCTGTCTCTTCCTCCCTCACCCTTCCTCTCTCCCTTCCTCTTTTTCTCATTCACTGTATCCTTTCCGTGGGCACCCTGCCGCGGAGGAGGGGCCCTCTCAGCCAGAGCATTACACGCGATGCCCTGTTGCATGCCCCTTGCACGAGGACTGCAGCTGGAGCTGTACGGTATTCGAAGCATCGGCATCTAGCTGCGTTTGATGTCGGGGGCTCGAGTGCTTGACATATTTTTGAGACCAGGAGTGGGGAGCTCAACCATCGAAACACTCCAAAACATTACGGCGGGACGTCCAAAATCGTCGAAGACGTCAACAGTTTAGGGTCGTTGCTGGAATTCCATCTAGGCCTGGAATTCCCAGCTTCACCGGCGTGCTGTGCGTATCTGCTGGGCTTGATGCTCCGATTCCGCATTTTGAATATGTGCGAACGCCGGGGGCGCGCCACACCTGGATCCTCAGCGAAGCCCAGAGAATCAGTCCCTCGCGACCCGCCAGGTTGCAACTGCGTTTGCTACTACGCGTGTACACGGCGTATCACGGCTCGCATTTGTCTGTCGTTTGCGCACGCGTTGGGTTCGAGAGGGTCACCACATTTGCCGGTGGTGACAGTGATTCAGTCATTACAGAACTCTCAGTCGCACTCGTCATATGATAGCATTACGTCCCTCTTGACAGTTGTTTCTTTTGTGCGTTCTCTTAGTTGGTTTGCGATGTGTGTCATGCACGCCAAGTGCATCAGGTGCGTCATTCGCGGCAGGTGCATTTGATGCGCCAAGTGCGCCACATGTTCAAGGCGCGCCATTTGCGCCAGGCGCGCCAGGATGCCAAGTGTGCCAGACGCGCACGGAGCCCTTTGAGATGCTTCTGCTTTGCAGCGTTTGCAACCTGCACGGGGCGCCAGCCTCGCGGACGGAGTTAGTTCCTTTCAATGGAGTCTTCATCCGTGTACGTGCACCAGCCGCGCATGAAAGCCTTTGGTATTCATGTTTTTTGAAACGTGGAGCTTGTACGAAACGGTTGCGACACCAGGCCCGCGAGGGGTTCTGTTGGATTCGACTGCTCAACGTGCAGCAGTCGCAAGGTGGACGCGGCCCCAATTGTGCGCCATGTGTTTGTGTTCCAGCGCGTCTTTTTTGCCTTAAAATCATGCGGGCGACCGCGCACTGGACTCTTCGAGCTTATTTCGGTTTCCAGCCAGACACGTTCGGATCTCACAGACGTCAACAATACCACAGCCGCGCATGGGATTTTCTGTGTGCCCGGCAAAGAAAGATGAGTCGATTTGGTTCCGATTGCGCACGAGATGTCTTCGATTTGGCTTCTTCACGACATTCGAAGGTAACACATTGTGGCGGCCACTGCTAGTGAGTCGCTCCGACAAATCTGAGCCAGCTGGTTCTGACGCCGTCGCAGGGCCCACCAACGGGGCACGGCGAGACGTCGATGGGCCACAGTCTGGAACCACGCGCAGGCGCGTGGAGGACTGCAGCCGGGGCGGCGCGCTCTTGCGGTGACGACGCTTGCCGGCGCTGGTGATGACAGTAGCAGCGAGGGAGGCCAATGCTGAACGTGACAGGGTTTCGCGCGTTGAGAACTGCGACGCGCTCCAATGTCGAAGCGGCGCGCAAGGCGCCGCACTTGCAGTTGGCGCGCGGGTCTGGCTGGAATCTGGCACTGTGGGTCGCGCGTGTTCGCGTTGATTTTGCGATGACGACAAGTGCAGCGAGAGCTCTTATTTCTGTGTCGGCGACACGCACCGCACGAGCACTATTCGGACACCACTACAGGCACCTTCCACTTGCAAGCATACTTCCTGCACCAATGCGCCAGAAAATGCGTTTTGCAAATGTAACTGCTAATGCTGACGGTATTGCTTTCGCCGTAGTGCGGCAGCCATATAATACCAAGCACAGGGAAAACCAATGCGCCTTATCTGACCATTTTCTCCATCGATACCACGGCTTGCATGCGCACTATTATGAGTATTGTTGATACTCGCATACTGGTTCCTCCAGGAGCTAGCCGTCATTGACAATAGTATCCATGTGGTTGCTAGTGTGGGGTTTAGGCTCAGTGCCACCGCTGCTGCTGGCGTTGTCCGAGCAGCGCTTGTCATTAGGATTTGTTGCTGCGACCGAAAAACAAACGGCACCACCCCACCTACGGCCTTCCATGTTGCGCTACGGCCCATCGGGGGCCACAGCGCATACCACGCAACAGCCCACGCCAGATTTCCTGGCATCGTAGGTTGAGGGGTAAGATCGCAGTGGAACGGGGAGCCCCCCATCGGGAAATCGGTTTCGGCTTCGCGTTCGTGTCGTGCGTGCGGACGCGCGACAGGAATGCTGCGCCGTGGCTACGGGCCGTGGAGCCGTTTGACCGCCCCGCCCCCAGGCGCGCGGTGGACCGGGGTGCCCCGCCGGCGGTGGGGGTATGCCTTGTCGGTGGTGCGGGGGTGCTCCGCCAGCGGTGCGGGGGTATGCCTTGTCGGTGG